GGGCGTTCCCTTGGCAGTGACTGTGCAAAGTGGGGAGCCCTCTAATGACACTCACTTTGAGAAGGTTTGATTTATGACTCCTGTATCTGAACTTGAGGGCATCACCAATATATAAGTTCAACGCTTATGCAAGGGAGCTTCCAAAAGTCCATAGGAAAACGCCATTATCTTTTCATTCCATTTTTCTTTATGAACTTTTTGATGTCCCCACCGATATTAAAACACATGCTGGGGCTTTGGGCCAACTGCAAGATCAGCAGCCACTTCTGTAATTCCGTGTGTGTGTGTGTGTGTGTGTGTGTGTGTGTGTGTGTGTGTGTGTGAAAGAGAGAGAGCACGCGCACACACGCTGTGCAAGAGAGAGCAGTAGGTTTCTTTCTTATGCTTGCAATAACAATTGCATCCCTGGTCCTCAGGCTTTGATGCTGTGGAGCTTAGAATTCTTCAGGGATGGTGTTAAAAGTTAACATTTGCATTTAAATGACAGTGCTTCCTCCCAAATGTTTTGATTTTAAATGAAGATGTCAGGCCCCTAAAGGTGGCCTGGCAGAGTTCTGTTCAGCGCCACTGGAGCTGGGTGGTGGACTGGGGCCTCCAGGAGAAAGTTGCAGCTGTTTTGCGGATGAGTTTGCCTCAAGCGCCGCACTATTTGAAACCCTATCTCTGCCCCTGCTGCTGTGTCCACGGAAGGCCTGGCCACTTCTCTCTCACTCCATCTCCAATCCTGGGAGCATGCTGGGTCTGTTTCTTACAAAACAACCTGTAGGCATATGCGCCCTCAAATGCAGGTGGATGCCAAGTCTAGCCACCTCGGTGAGTCCTGCCAATTGTGAGATCAGAATGGCCCAGGAGAGAGCCCAGGAGGGATGGTGGAGTCAATAACCAGAGGTCTCAGGCTGTGCTGGAGATAAGCTGTCTCCATGGGGCCTCAGAAACCATATTGGCCACATACAGACTTGGGCTTGGGCAGCTCAGTTGCCTGGGGAAATTCCTCAGCTAGTCCTACTTCCATGATGCTGAGAACAGTTGTTGCTTATGAGAGAATGCGAAGGTTGGAAGGCATCTGCCAGGTGTTTTTTAAGCGGGTGTTTTTCTTTCACAGAGAGGAGCGGAGGAAAGAGATGTGTTCCACTGGCCATGTATAAGGCTATGGATGACAGCAACAGCCCCAAACCCATTTGCAGAAAAACCCCATGAGATTAAACCTCCATGGAATTCCTTCTGCCCTAAACCAAGGAGGCTAGTGCAGTGGTTCTCAACCTTCCAAACGCCACGACCCTTTCGGACAGTTCCTCATGTGGTGGTGACCCCCAGCCATAACATCATTTTCATTCTACTTCATAACTGTCGTTTTGCTACTGTTATGAATCAGGCCACACTTGTGAAAGGGTCTTTCAAATCCCAAAGGGGTCGCGATCCACAGGTTGAGAGCCACTGGGCTACACAGTCTTGCCTTCAGGCAGGGTGCATTGGATTACCTCCACTCCTCCTGGGCCGACCCAAGAAGAGGAGTCTCTGGGAGTTGTCTGGGTGTGCCCACGATGGAGCTCACCAGACTCGGGACTCATTGTCATGAGTTATGCCCTATCGGTCCTGTTGGGCCTGACCCCCTTGGGCTGAAGGCCCTGAAACAACCTTGTATGCTTTTCTGTCTAACATGACGCATGTGTCCCAACCATGGCCCTGTTCCCACTTCGGCAGTTCCATCTGCAACTGTGATGTATTGATCTGTCACCAATCATGCATTGGCGACTGTTCCCTTTGTTCCAGGCCTTCTTTGACGAGAGTCCTGACAGGGAACCCTTAGATGTCATCACGGCCTCGTGCCAATGACCTCCTTCATCCGGATGATGTATCTGTGCCTTTGTGTTGTCTTTATCCCATTTACGCCTTCATGTTCTCTTTACATTTTATGTGAGACTGGTTCAAAAGACATTGTGAACCTCTAAACAGCAGCACCGGAAATCGACTGTGTGTCCAAACCATCTCTAGTCAAATATTGGCTCTGCAACAATTAGCCGAGTAACCTTGGGCAAGCCTCTGCCTTGGCCCCTTCTGATGTATAGTTGGGAATAGAGGTGTCCTTACTCAGAGCCTCCTTAGCCAGGTCCCTGGCACCCTGCTTATCTCACAGAGATTGTGTCAGAATAAGAAGTAGAGTCCCCCCCACCCCCCATCCCACTCCCGCCCCCACCCTCTTGACACATATTCCAAAGGGTGTCCAGCTATTAGAAAGAATATTAACCTTCATCATTTCAAAACTCCCAGGAACTTAATCACAGAATATCTTCAAATGGGCACTGTGGAAAATGATGTTTTAATTACCTGCTTGACTATGAACAGCAGACTCACTCCTTCTGTTGCTTATTTTCTTAAATTTCTTCCGAGCATCATATCCTCTCCAGGCTAAAAATATAAAACCATGTGCTAGGAATGACATTAATTTAAGAACGTGCCAGAGAATTGATATAAGCTGTTTTCCCTCCAATCTTTGACATAGAAATCCCTTCCTCCTCCCCCCTGGCTTTTCTAGCACAACAAAATAAGCAGTGACACATGAGCCATGGTGGGGAAGAGGGCCTCTTTGTCCTCACAGCTTGGCCTCTGAGACGCTTTATAAGGGGTTCTCTTGGCTTAGCCAGTGATGTGCCCGAGGGCACCTTGGATCCCCTTGGGACCAACACTTGGGACCCCCTCCCTGGTGAGGCAGTTGTCATCCCATCCCTGCAGTGGATCCTGTCTGTAGGGCTTGGGGACGGAATAGGGGGATGATGGGCAGCAATGAGAAAAGCCAGATCTTTTGATTTGAGAGCAGAGCGTAGGCATGAAAGTTGAACGGGAGAGAAAGTCGTCAAGGGGAACAGTACACAGCACGAGCCCAGCCTTTGTTGAGGGTGAACCATGAGCCAAGAGCTGGGTCAAAGAGAAGTGCTGTGACACGCCGGGACGGGCAGAACAGCAGAGGAAAGGTCAGACCAGCAGAGAGATGCAGAAGACAAAGAGGGAGGGGGATTCTGCCCTGGCTCCTTTGGATTCAGAACTGGAGGAGGAAGCTCCCCCTATCTGGAGTGAGAGGGTCTCTCCTTCTTGCTCCCCTACCTTGGCCTGAGTGTCAGCACTCCCCAAGTTGTTTGAAGAGGTTGTGAAGTCCTGGGTGGCCTAAAGCACCTCTGATTGTAGGTCATGAAAGTACCGAGCAAATGGTCCTCTGTGTTCCCGATCAGACACTTTCATAACCACTCTCAGTGGCCCCGGTGCCCAAAGGCTGTTTGTTTGTCGACGATGGACCCATACACGTGCGCAGAGAGGCACTTGTGGGGCTGGCAGTGTGGAAAAGCCTGGCAATTTGCTCCCTTGGTTTGTAAACTCCCTCTGTGCTAAAAACAACAACAACCAAACCAAACCCATTGCCACTGAGTTGGTTCCAGCTGTAAATCTTGACAGGAGCAGACAGCTTCATTTTTCTCCAAAGCTGGGTTTGAACTAGCCAAGCTTGCGAGGAGCAATCCAACAGTTTTTGACCAGGGCCCCCTTTTGAGGGTGTAACAATGGACCTGAACTGTGCATTGTACCACTTACCTGGGAGATGAGGCACATACCTGTGACTTGGATTGCACACCATGTACTTTGCCCTCCCCTCCATCTTGCTACTTGTTGGGGTGTACTATCATGGCTTGTTTATCTACGATGTCAGGGACCATGGTAGTCCTGTTCACTGCTATATCCCTACCTCCTAGCATGGGCCTGGACTACAGCAGGCACTCATCCACATTTGTTGGAGAAAGAGAGAGAAAAGGAAGAAACTACTGAGAAAAAGAACAGGTGAGAAGCCCTTAGCCCTCATCGGCATGAAAGGTCAAAATTCAGGACAGTATTTCTGAAGACGGAGTGCTTACCTGACTGGATGGCAATGGCCCCCTTCTCTCTCTTCTCTCTGACTCTCTTGTATCTCCTGGCTCCAAGCCACCCCTTGGTATAGGCCTGCAGCACCACCACTCTGCCTAGGACTTCTCGCAGCAGCAAATTTAACTGTTCGACGTGGTAGTACTTGAGGAAAACCTGACAGGAGGCATTCGGTGTAGTGTTACCCATGAGCTCCCAACAAACAATCCCCTCTCCGCCATCAGACTCTTAGTTGTAAAGATTAAAAGCATTATTCCCATAAAGTGAAGTGATAGTGATTTGATTTATGCCAATATGCTTAGCTTCTTGGGGGAAAATACAATTCCCCTTCTGAGGTTGTGCCAATCCTGCGTGATTGATGTAAACAGATGATGAGGTTAGTAGGGCTTTGGAACTCCCTGCCATCAAGAGGATTCTGACTTCCATCCACTCCATGGGACAGAGTAGAGCTGTCCTGGTGGCTGTCCAAAACTGTAACGAGTGATGGGAGTAGAAAGTCTCATCTCTCTCCTGGCGAGCGGCTGATGGTTTCAAACAGTTGACTGAGCAACTAGCAGCCCGATGTGGACTCCATTACACCACCAGGGCTCTGTAACAGAACCTTCAAAGACACCTTCACTATCATCGAGCTGATTCATTAGTGACCCTACAGAATAGGGTCGAACTATCCCTGGGTGGTTGTAAACTGCCGACCTTGCAGTTAGTTAGCCCAGTGCATAACCTCTGTGCTAACAGGGCTCCTCTTGAACAGGGCTTTAGGAGATCCAAAATATACTCCAAGCCTGCGTCATTACTACCAAGATGCCGCAATGGTCCAGTTTTCTGTTTGCTCTCTGCCCATTTGGTAGATAGCCTCCGGTGAAGAAGGTCCCGACTACAGAGGTGCCCTGAGGCCAACCGTGGAAGATGGGTGAGAGTGGGGCTGGACAAAATGCTGGCTGTTACCATTCAGGTTACGGCTGCTTTTGTGGGGCAATTCAGGATGGCCCATTAAATCTTGGGATCCTGCAGGGACCGGATGTTCCTCCACAGGAGAAGTTACACACGATGAGACCGATCATCAGGGAACTCGGTTAACAACAGCACGGGTTTAATAACAAATAGACGAAAGGAAAAGCAGCCCCTCGCTGCCGTCTGCATGCTCTGCGTATTTACACGTGGTGCCGGGACAGGCAGTTTGTTAAATTGGACATTTTAAAATGAGCCGAGAGACCACATTCGAGAAAGGTTGAATGGTTCTCCAAGTACATGCAAAGCACAATGCAAACGCAGAGGCCAGAGAACTGGCCCAAGCCTGGCCAAGAGCATTGCGAGATTAGGCTCTTGTCTGCTGGACGACACA